TTAATAATTTAAAGTTTATTACCATCATTCAATACTCAATCCAAACAAGTGTTAGATGGGATAAAATGTGGGATCTAGTCCTTCTAATACTTGAACCAAACATGAAATGATGAGACATTATTACTATAATTAGTTCAAGGCCCGAATGGATGAGTATGTGATGGACGAATTTGTCCAATTTAGTCCTTCTTAATGTCCAATTGAAATCTATACTCAACAATTTTGTTTAAGGTGGAAAGAAACAGGACTGAGCTTAGAACCAACAACGACTTATGAGAAGTAATTGAGCTTTGAAGAACAGAGTCAAACCCACAATTCCTAAGAAATTGTGCTGGTCTCTCTCTTTCTCTCTCTCTCTCAAATAGCTTATCTAATAGTGTATTTGTTGGGTAGATAGAAAATAAGAGAAGAAAAATCGAATGTGAAAGGAAAGACTTTTTATCATTTGGTTCAAAGGAAAATAGGACCAATCCACCATTTTTTTCCTCCCATTTTGAGAGGAAAATTTAAGATAAATTATTTTTTGGACATTATTTTTTTTTGTCTTTGAATATATTTCTAAATATTATATCCTAAATCTGCACATTTCTCAAGAATTTTTTTTAAATATTCTAACAAATTTTTTGGATATTATTTTTGGTATACATATTTGTATTTAATTATTCATTTTTATAACTAATTAAAGTTACATTGAACATTTTCAAATTTATAATAAAATTTTTTTATGTACGGGTATAATGATAAATTAAGTATATGTATTGTTGGAATTTGACCCCAAACTCCCTGGTTATCATGAATGAGAGTTTGTTGGATAATTAATGTGATAATCCTATACAAAATAGGATTATATTGGAAAAGTTTTTAATATACCATAATTAGATATATTAGACATGTGATAGGAAAAATAAAGATTAAGTTATATTTAAATAAGTTTGAGTTACAATATTTTATCCCTATAAGTAGGGCTGAGTATTATGTAATCAGTTACCAGATGACCAGATATCAGTGAATAATATATCGATGTAGATTTTTGATCAGTGGATGTAGGTATGCTGTATCGAACCACGTTATATCTTTGTGTCATATTTTTTTATTTTCGTATCTTTGAATTCCTATCTTTCAACAAGTATTATTTGTGTTAAATATCCGTTGTGCAAAATCAACAGGTGGTATCAGAGCCAAATTAACGTTCCTGGTATAACAAACAGAGCTAGATTGAAGATCCTGGTAGAATAATCAAAGATAGATTGATGATTCTGGTGCAACAATCAAAGTAAATTATTAACAATTCAATGATCAAGTTGGTGTTCATGTTGAAGAATACTCTCTTGCCATGTATGTACAATTCATATTTAGATTCACAAAAAAATAAATAAAGTTAAGGTGGTATGAAATCAAACGAAAGATTCTGTTGCTTCCTGATTGTTTGAATTTCAAGAATTATCACACGTACTTTGTTGAAAATGTTTCTTCAGATTTTTTTGGATCTTAGAGTTAAAGTCGTGATATTCTAATAGTTTGGGAGTTATTGGATTGACATAAACTCAGTAATGATGATTTTTGTGTCTTGTGGGTTACGAGTCACAATACTTTTGTTTTTGAATGGTAAAACATTGACCATTGAGATCTCCCAAGAGTAAGTAAGATGCGAGTAGAGATGCACAGATGATGCAGGTCAAGACATAGTCTCTTGAAAGACAACGAGGATTGTGGGGACACTGAAGAGTAAGTTTGCACGTAGTGTTTGAAAAAATTGGTGAATCAAAATTAAATGTGATAAGCTCGATCTCTGATATGAACAAAATTGAAGAGTTTGGTTTAAGGGAGGTTGTTGAAATTTGACCCAAACTCCCTAGTTATCATGAATGAGAGTTTGTTAGATAATCAATGTGAGAATCCTATGTGAAATAAGATATATTGAAAGAGTTTTAATATATCATAAATAAGTATATTAGACATATGATAGGAAAAATAAAGATCAAGTTGTATCTAAGTAGGTTTGAGTTATAATATTTGATCCCTATAAATAGGGTTGAGTATTATATAATCAGTTACCAGATGACCAAATTTATCGATGTAGATTCTTAGTCCATGAATGTAAGTACGATGTACCAAGTAAGTATGTTGTATCTAACCACGTTATATTTTTGTGTCATATTTTTATTATTTTCCTATCTTTGAATTTCTATTTTCCAAGAAATATTATTTTGTGTTAATTATCCGTTGTATAAAACTAACAAATAGTATCAAAGTTATGTACCAGCATGTATCATTATTTTTTTTTCCATTTTTTCTCCAATACCAAATAATCAAAAATTAATCCCTCCAACTTTCTATTTATTATACCAAACAAAAAGAAATAAAACATTTTTTATTTTTAAGTTTAACAATTAAAAGTGTTTAAATCAATTTACTCATATTTCGACTAATCCTCCCTTATATGTATCGATTTATTTTTAAGGGATTTGGTGTCACAATAGTTGAGGAACCAATCATGGTGTTATCTCGAGCCACCAAGGTGGTAGTGAATAGTGTATTATTGTAAAGTGGACCCATAGCACCGCGCCTACTTTCCTCTAATAGCTAGCTAGCTAGCTAGCTCATCAGATAAAGGCCACCACTGGCTTGGTTTTCTCATTTGTATATGTATAGCCACAGAAAGATGAGAATTCCACCAAATTGATCAACAAAGAGAGGCTTACGTGTCCTAATCCATTCACCAACCGTACATTTTGTTTAATCACTTCGAGGTGCTCAGCTTTGGGATCTTGACCCTTTACTTTACTTACACTTAACCCACTTGTTTTTTCGTTTTGTATTAATGTTTCACACACCAAGATTGACCCTCCATCCCTTTATTATTTACACAATTGGGATGTCCAAACCCAACCATTCATCCAACCATCCATCCATCCTTCCATCCTAATCTTAGCTTTTGTTTCAACCATCCTTCCTTCATTTTTAATCCTAGGTTTTGGTTTTTTAGTTTTGCGGATAAAGTGTTCAAGTCAACTTACACAATATTTTTTTTAATTTAATCTAATCTTAAGATTTTTAACAATCGGTGAAAGAAGAGTCAAAATTTATGTAATTTTTTCTAGAATAATATTTTAGCAATATTATTATCGACAAAAAAAATATTTGAACAATATTATTAAAATCTAATTTATTAATTTAATTTATTATTGAATTGATTATAGGTCTCATCACATATTAAAAGTTGATATTATTTCATTCGTTGCAATGAAACCACGTTATTAATTCGGACTTATGATACTGACTTTTATACTATATCTCTATTAATTTTAATCCTTGATTAATTTTGAGCTGAATGATTTACAACTAATAAAATATAAAAATTTACACATGACATGTTTTAATTATATGAAAAATAAATCCCAAGAGATAGTTCAAATAGTAACAGAGATGATTTGTAAATTTAGACGTTCTGAGTTCGAATCTTGACAATTTCTTAGATCTAGACCATTAGGGATAACTTTTTTATCAATACCCTAGTTTCGGCATAAATGACCAATTTTTGATCAAATAAAAAAATCATTAATCGAAATATGTGTAAATTAACCCGAACATCTCGACCATTTAACCATAAAATAAAAAATAGAGATAATGTAGCGAAAAAGTGATTTTTTAGCACCATAATAAGACTGTTTTTCCACGAAACAGGGGTGGCTCGAGGTAATTTGAGGTCTAAACTAAAGCGAAAACACTATATGATGTCTTTTTTATTTTTAATATTAATTTTTTTAAAAAATCAATTTATTTTTAATTTAATATGTGTGTGAGATAGAAGAATAACGTGTTAGTATTGTTGAAGAAAATATTTTAACTTTTATATTTATTTTTTATTGGAGAGAGAGAGAGAGTTTAGTTTAAATTTTTTTTTTTTTTTTTTTCTACTTATTTTTACAAGCGGACAGAATGAGAAGAGATAAATATAAATTAATATTTGAGTACTTTTTATTTTTTAACTTGTGATTTTTAGGTTTCGAATGTTATGAATTGGTTAATGGACCTAAATTACTACAATAAAAATTTTAATTATTCTTAATTTTTTGAGACCTTTTTTTATGGTTTAAAATTTAATAAATTTAAATTTTTATGGGTTAATAATATACCTAAAATTATGGCCTTCTAAAACTTTAGGACAAAAAATCAAATTTTTTTTTAAATACTCTATCCGTTTCTAAATATTTGTCGTTTTACACCATTTTTTTTATTCAATAATATCTGTTATTTAATGAAACTAAAATATAATTAATATTTTTTCTTCCAAATTTACCCTTAACTTTTCAATACATTAGATTAGGTGGAGGTTAAGTGTTTTTCATATTCCTTTTTTTCCCAATACGTATTGAATAAGAGTATTTTAGTTTTGTGTAATTATTTTTTACTCATATTAGAGTTATTTAATAACTTTCTTAATTCTTGTGTACAAACCTTAAACGACATAAATTTAAAATTAGAGAAAATACTTTATAACCGACCCGGCCATGAAGTGATTGGTTTAAATCAAACTCCATAACTATATCAAACTTTGTGAAGGTTGTATCTGATTGATCAATGTGATGAGATCATCATAATCACGTTCAGATGATCACTTGCTTCGAGACAACAGTGAAAAAACTCAATGGGATTATTGCTTTTGATCCTTATCCTCATATTAATCCTATGGGGGTCCATTGCTGTGAATAGAGGCCACCAGCTGTGGACCATTCCGACACATTAGACTTGTTTTTGAGAACATAAGGAACATATAAAAATTCCTACCATTTTTAACTGAGTCACGTTTCACCAAATCAGACCAATAGTTTTAGCTACCACTTTTTACAGTTCAATTCCCAATAGTGACAGTTCTCTATCCGACGGTTCACAATTCTTTGGTGGCATTCTTGATGATTTCCCAGAAGATGAAGGTCCATTTGGGTTAGATAGCTTTATAAATGAAGTCTTCCATGTCCTCCTTAACAAAGTCCTAAGAAGACAACTGTTCCCTTAGTTTTTACTCCAGCTTTATTTATAAAGTCATCCCTGTTGTTTTCTCGTAAGACTTCCACCTCTCTTCCCCAGAGAACAGTGAGAGAGAGAGAGATGACAAGCAGCATGCATCATGAAGTTGATGATCAAATGATACTTATTTCTCAGTACTATCCTGGCATATACACCCAACTAGTACCAGAACAAGGTTAGTACAGTGAACAAAAGAAAAGTTACCTTCCATGCATTTATTTGTTTATCTGATCAGTAAGTACTAAAAGGGGAGGGGGGGGGGGGTTTTGACAATGTTTTAGGAGAGGCTAAACCGAGAAGAAGACGCAAGAAAAACAAAGGATCAGAGGGTAGCAGTGGGGGAGTGAGGAAGAGGAAGCTGAGTGAAGAACAAGTTAATCTTCTTGAGCAGAACTTTGGAGATGAACACAAGTTGGAGTCTGAGAGAAAGGATAAGCTTGCTTCTGAGCTTGGTCTTGATCCACGCCAAGTTGCTGTTTGGTTTCAGAACAGGAGGGCCAGATGGAAGAGTAAGAAGCTGGAGGAGGAGTACTCCAAGTTGAAGACAGACCATGAGAGCACTGTTGTCGAGAAATGCCGGCTTGAAACTGAGGTACATCTAACATCTCTCTCTCTCTCACACACAGAGCTGATCGTACACATGGCATGGTTCCCTGACGTCTGGGAGAGAGAGTCAAGGTTATGACAGCTTTTCATTTTGTTGGTGCAAATTTACTTGGAATCTGAAGGGAGGTTGTGGATGTGGGTTCTGTCAGGTTCCATATATTAGGTTGAAAGTGATTTCTCTCATTTTTAGTAAGTAAAGAACGTCATAAAGAAATAAAATAGTATACGTTTGAATTTTTGTGATTTCATAAATACTGAGTTTAATTAATATTCAAATTATATGAATTCGAGATTTACATTACAACGGTGAATTAAGTCCATTTTTCATTACCAAAAATCGACAAGAAGCAAGAGGATGCCTAGACAACAAAAGGGTCCGTACACATTTGTTTAAGGTTGCTAGTGTTGGGCCTCCCCCTTCCTGGTGGAACAGCACATGCCATTTCAATCATCCCACGTGATAGACTTTCATCAGCTGTTGTGTATAATGCACACAACCCATTTCATGGTCCCATGTGATAATTCCTAACCCCAAAGCTTATGATTATTAAAAATAATCTTCTGATTAATGTGTGAAAAAGATCAAAATCCTCGGAATAATCGTTGTTTAGCAGAAGATTAATACTGAATGTTTTGATTGATCAGGTGTTGAAGCTCAAGGAAGAGCTTTCTCAAGCAGAGAGGGAGATCCAACTGTTAATGGAGCGCTGCGATGGGGTTTCAAGCAACAGCCCGAGTTCATCGTTGTCAATGGACGCCATGGGACCACCTTTTCTTGGGGAGTTTGGGATGGAAGGACTGGAAAAGGCCTTTGACCTGCTGGAAAACAATTACATTATTCATGGATTGGAGTGGGTTAATCTTTATGATATGTGATTAATTAATAATAATAATAATAATAAAAGCATTCTAGATATATGTAGATAGTATTAGTGACCATCTATTGTACATCTTTTTTCCTTGTTTTCTGGCTAATGTTGTCAGTGCTATTGACTACTAGAAGTTGTAATTGTAATCAATATAACTTGCTTTTTGACTAATAACTTGTTGGTTTTGCCATGTACTGTGTGTGTGTGTCTCTCTCCCTATGGAATATGAAATGCAAGTCTTCGTCAATATCAGTTTAATCAAAGAGAGAGACAGCAGAGCAACCTAATGTTCAATTCTTCATAAATGGTTTCTAGCCTCATTTTCTTGAATAACAATGGCTGGTTTGTCTGTTTCTTCAATAATGATGGGTGTGAAATGAGTTTTCCTCTAATGTGAAATCTCCTTGAGGTAGAGTCATATTGGACCCATTTTGCATCATAAAATGTGGAACACATTTAATCACACGCTATGTACCAGTCATCGGTTAGACACCCAAAAAAAAATGTCTACCCCATGTGGATCGTTAAATGTCTTTTTTCCACAGTTAACTTAAAGGGTCATATAGTTGCTATTTAGGAGTGTGGAGGCTAATTCAGTCACTCAGAACCATGGCAGAAGTGAACATGTAAAAGAAGAATTAATTAGAAGATGCATGACCGCCGAGTAGGGTGGTCTAGTGGAGTATTGACCAAATTTCTCATCTTATGGTTGAAAGTTCGAGTCTTAGAGCTCACATTAAGGTTCGATTGTTGACCGTTATACTAGGCTAGTTAAGTTCGTTTCAGAGAGATATAATGAGAATGATTAGGAGCCTCGTGATTCCACCAATAAGGACTTATCAAAATGATTTCTAAGCGCTATCTTTTACTCCACTGAGTTTTCAAGTAGCAAAAAAATAAAAAATTAGAAGATGCATGGTTGAATCGGAGAGGCAATGAGCCGCAGACTAATTGAAAGGAGATGTGAATAGGATATTATTTGTCTATTGGTTGCTTGAATAAAGAGGCATGCAATTTCATGCACACACATCACGTCACCTATGTATAACTAAAGGTACTCTTGATCCAAATATGGAAGTTAAGCATGCTATACCAACAGTAGGCAATTATAAACCCTCTGATAAAAAAGTAACAGAGCTAAGAAAGAAAGAAATAAAGGCAATCGGGGTATTTTAACCCATTTAAAACTTAGGTTTTCTTCAAAAAATCAGAACTATTAAGGGCAGATTTTATAGTAGTGAAGTGGTAGAGGAATCCAAGTTTCACAACTTCTAATCACAAACTAATAAAACAAGGTTTCAGTAGCTGAATTCCTACTTAAAAAAATGGATTCTCAAACTCAAAATTGCAAGAATAGGAGTGAAGAACGAAAGAGTGAACTGCCATTTATGACGATAAGCACTCATCATGGTTGAATTCTATGATGGATTGGAATCTCACAACCACATAAAAAGCACAAAAGAAAATGACAAATCAAACTAAGTGAAGACATGGTTGGTCTGCACACTTAGTACCAATGGATAAGACAGAGTGTCCTTAATTGAGGCAGAACGTGGGAGCTATGTCTGGTTTTTCTAGGTCCCACGGTCAAAGTGGCGCAGAGTAATATCAAGAAGGATAATGCTATCAGAATATCACTATACTACTGAAAAAAAAATACAAAATAATAAAGACTTTCGATTGAATTAAAAAAAAATGAGATATGATACATAAAAGAGAAATGCTAATGTATACAAAAATGCACACTAAAATTTGTACCAAATTACTTGTAGTTGTTAGATCAGTAAGTCTCATCGTTGATCCAACGATTATAGTTGATTTGGTGTAAGTTTTAGTGTACAAATTTAGTGCATATAGAATTATTCTACATAAAAAGTGTTTTTCAATATCAAGATAGGGCCGGCCTTAGGTTAGGCAATCGAAGTTGTCGCCTAGGGTACCATATTTTTTAGGGCCTCAATTTTTATTTTTTTTTAGATTTAGATTTACTTAATTTTAATTATTTTTAAAAATTTCAGATTCAAATTTAATTAAGTCTAAATTTTGTTTTCTGGGCCCTTAATTTGTTTTTTTTATAGACGTAAGGTTAATGAAGTCAAATTTTATTTTTACGAGTTTTATATTAATATGCGATTCATTAATTAATCAGAATACTATTCATATCTCAGAAGTTGGAACCTGCCATGTATAACAAAAAAATGTAATTATTTTCTTTTGTATATTTGTTTCCAACTATTTTGACCGGTTTGAAAAGTTTGTATTCTAATTTTTTTAAAGAATTTGATGGTGTTTTGAGAATCTGCTATGCCTGCAACCCATACTGCACCACCAGCTTCAAACCATCTAACAAGGCCAAGCATTCAGCCTTCATGTTGGACCCTAGGCCATAAAAGGCAGCAGCAGCAATTAAAGAGGTCCAAGAACATCTAACGAGAACGCGAAATCATTTAATTCACTTAGTTTGATCCTAAAATTTCTATCACATGTATTTTTCGACTTTTTGGTATACAATGCTGCTTTCATCAACATTTAATTATTGAGACTTTAGAGTTTACGCGACTCTTGTCTCGTGGTCTCTGACCTGATGTATGCAGGGATTGCCTTCTGATTTCAATTGATGCACGTACACGGTACACCAAGGCTTGGGTGCGAGCTTAGCTCTGCTGAAACTGGTACGCTTGCTCAAAAGTACATGCTTTGATGATCCAAACGGGTTGGGTGTCAAAAGCTCCACCAAAACTGCCCCCATTGTCAGGTTCCCCAGGTATATCCAATTGGGTGACTTTGTTCATCTGTTTCATGAGATGGGATTAACGAATTAATCAATTAGAGTGCTACAGTTTCAAGCTTTCTTCGACATGGTTTCCTCATAAAAAAACTAGATCGAAAAACCAAGTTCGTTTCCATTGTGTATTGTGCTCGGTACTTGTTTTAAAGCTTACGACAGTGTTTAGTAAGTATATGTCGTGGTGATTGTCATGATTGGTTTGTTTTGGGTATTGCTTTGATTTCTATTCAAAATATTTGGTTTATTGTTGAATCAATGAAAATCTATTGCAATTTGAATTGGAGAAAGGATTACACAATATGCAATTCATCAATTTGTGGGTGGTTCGTAATATAAAGAACTACGTGGATATGCCAATTATGTGGTATGATTGGTGACACTTAATAAGGTTGAAAACTTGCTTGTGCTCTTGCTTTGTGCATGGTGTAGCACTCTATCAGGTGTTCACTTCAGAATCCGATGCCTAATCGTGCAATGTTATATATAAATATGCATATGAATGTCATGGGCATGAAATTGTAGTCTTGAGCTATTCGAGAAGATGGAGGAGGAAAATGGTGTGTTGTTAAATTTGGCGACATTTTTTCCAGGCCTGGTGGAACGGGCACAAGAGTGGTTTTCTATTTGTTTTCTGTCACAGTTCCTGAAGAAGCATTATGGGGACCCTGATCCAGAGCATTTGCCTACTTCACAGGTTGATTAGGCAGGGCAGGACAGCTTGACACACTCTGGTTTCTGCTTCATGATACGGTTAAGAATGGTACACTTCCTGCTGCTGCAATTTAGGCAATGCTATGAAATACTTGTGGAATTAACCAGGATGTCACGAGGGTTGAATTACTATACAGATCAAAGTCATCTACGAAAATGGACATATGAAACTCATCAGTAGAACTCCACTGGAAAACAATTTTCCTTACCAATGTTGATAAAGTAATAACCGGCGAAAGAGTTGCCAGAAAATGTCGTCTGAACGCTGCACAATGTGGGGCTATTTGAGGTCTTGCTATATATCTTGCATGTCTGGTTGAAAACTGATATCATCGAACTTTTCTGCCAAAGAATTGCTGAATGAGAGACTTGCTTATTTTTATGAGCCCAAGGCCACATCACGAATGGCATATACCAATGCCCCTGTAGGAAGTTTCTATATACTTCTCAACTTTTACGAGGTTAAAATGTATGCCTTAAGTGGTTCCCTTTTGATATTTAGTTAGTCGAAATATGTTTTATAGAGTCATAGAATCTGATGGGACTCTTCTGAAAAGCCCTAAGATGAAGACACGTGTTCTCGGGTTTTTTGGAAACAGTGTTGCCCGGATGTAAGCACCATCGGCGAAGAGCGTCCTTTACCCCTAGGTACCTCTCATATAGGATCACGCATTCGGTGTATTATACAACAACACGTGTCCTCGGTCACCGTGTACCTCGGAAACATACCACCCTCGGTCCCCGAGATGAGCCTTTCCTCGGTGCCGAGGGTCACTCCATCCTGAACGCTTCCTCTACTCCCAGATAAAGCTACTGACGTACGGGACATCAGCCTATGCCAGTCTAGACTATTCATCATGACCTCATCTTATACAAGTAATGTCAGAACATGCTGGAATACAGAAGTCATAGCCAATACGTGATGGACGCGTGGCATATGATATCACATCAAAAACAGACAAACCGCATGCTGTTGCTGACACGCGCTTTGGAAAGCAAACAATTAATTGCACCCTTCTGTTGACGAGACCGCATTCAATGCGGTAAGGTTCGGATATGAAAGGCAATAAATGCTCCTGTTACAGAGCATTTATTGCATCCTTCCCGAAAGGAGCATATTGTACCGTCGGCGTCCCGACGACTCAGCATTGATTGCTCGGGACCCCGAGCAGTCAATTAGAGAAGACATTCCTCATCAAATCAATACACACGCTACCTGTGCCTGATGATCACCTACTGACCACACTGACAGCAATCATGAGCTTCTAAGGTATAAATACTCCTCCCAAAAGGCAAAGCGGGTATGCAATCACAATCTCTCTACTACAATACAGACTTCCTCAGTGTTTTCTTCTTCCTCTCTCTCATTCAAAGACTGACTAGACCGTCGGAGGGGATACGCCGGAAAACACTCCGGCACCCTTCTAACTTGTTCCTCTTTATTCCAGGAAAACCTTTCACACATACATGATCGTTCTTCCTTTCCCAGGATTTTCCTTTGCCGTTCCAGGTTGCCACCGTACCTTGCAGGCTGTGTCAAGCAGCGTGTTTGGCCACTCAACCGGCTCACTCAAAGTTCACCAGGGGAGAGATCTGTTCCCGTT